AGGACTCTTACGAATTCCAGAGGGTTTTAGCAGAGAGATTTATTGCGCAGGTTCAAAAGCAATAGCAACAAGCAATTCTGAACCCCGAGGGCGGGTTCAGACTTCAGTTTTATACTTTCCTTTTCTGAGGAACAAGGGAATACACATTGAAATACACATTGTAATACATTAGGTTCGTTTCTCACGGGTATACAATGGAGAGTTTGCTACATACATTGTATCAAAGTGCAATGCGCATAAGGTTAGTCACATACTACTAACACAGCATTATTCCAGTAATTATGCAGACACATCATTATTCTAGTGATTGTTCATTATTCCACATTACTATCAGGACATCTTGCTTGGTTTCAGAAAATTGCAGTGGGATTACCAATTCCTTCTTTACAGATCTCAGCAGATTGGAATTAATAGAAATCTGTGGGGCCAGCTTAGCAACAAAAATAACCAACCTGTTGTGCTTGATTTTTGGATATGGGATCTGCCACTTCATTCTACTCTCCTGCCTGAAATTTCTTCACTATGCAGTCCTCTCCATTTAAAGTTTCCTGTGGGGAGCAGACCAGTCCTTTCACTTAAAGGCTAATATTGAAGGTTTGTCAATTTCTTATTAATAAAGCAATCTTATGCACACTTATTTAGAAGTAAGGCCTATTGTGATTTAGGAAGCTAAGTTCCTAATAAGAATGCAGCCCAACAAAGGAAAACTACATCAATCAGATTTTTGAAAATAATTTTGCATTTAAGCATCATAACAAACAATGTAAAAATCCAGGACTCCATAAATGCAGTGATTTGGCAGCTGTGAGTGCCTGGGTCTCTTTCTCCTAAGATCAGAAGCAGCACTTTTAAAAATGCACTTCTTTGGGAGAATGGTGACTTTTACATTTTTAAAGGGCGGAAATGGTTGGCAATCTTTTCCTATGTTTGGCGAGGAGAAATAAACACACATCTGTAATATTGCATCCCTGTTGCACATTGCAGGCAGCTGAGGTGAACTCCAGCATATATCATGTTCATGTTGTCTAAGGCACCTGAGACGATTTATAACCATCTTGTAATGAACTTTGTCATCACTTTCCTCATCTAGAGGTCTGGGGCTGAGGCAAATTGACTTATGAGCAATCCCAGGTTAACTCTTGGCATACAAGCCCCGGAGCCAGCTTCTTCTCTAGACCAAGTGAGGCAGCTTCCTGAGATGGAAGATGCTGAGAAGCGTAAGGTTCAGCGACAGTGGCTGCCAGCTATTCTGCATAAATCCCCAGTTGTTCAGTTTTGAAGGTAGACAGTTCAGTGTCTCCATCACTAGCTTGCAGCCATAAGGTAGGATGGAAGAGATCCTGTGTCTTAGTTATGGTTGAAGTAAGATTCACTGTGCATGGAATGGAGGAAGGCACCGTCTTCTTTTTTCGCCTCAAGCAAAATGTCTTGGGATAGGGCTGTCAGACATCATTCATGTTCCTCCCAGTGACTGAAGGAAATCTGAGATAATAACCAAAACCAGAGGGGATGCAAATCTGTATTTCTTTTCTGTCTCAGTGTTTCCTTTTCTTTCCTTCTCTCTTTCTTGGGAAGTGACTCCCCTTAGAATCAAACTCTTTAAACAGTTCCTTTCCCTACAGCTGTTCTGCTTGTCCGTGCAGAAGCTCAGTGTAAAATCAAGAGTCTGGCTCACTTAGGTTTGGAAACCTCTTTTTTTAATGGTGACATAGTGCAGAATTTGTTTCCTGCAGGGCTCAACAACTTTAGGCGTTAAAAAGCTGAGTTCAAACTCATTCCCCACATCCTGCTAACCATGCACAAAGACATCCCACTAACCTTTATCAGAAGACATAATCTCAGGAAATTGTCCAGCCTATTGAGCATGCAATTGAAATGTGTCTAGCTATTCTAGTTGTAATGCTTTCCCCTTTCTCCTGGTATGGCTTCCCATACAAAAAAATCTGAAGTATCTTAATGTCAATGTTGGTGATGAGGTGCCTTAGCTCCTATTGGCTGTTTCAGGCTGCAGCAGACATGACTCCTTCCCTTTGGTCATAAGGCATAGTCCTCCTTAGCCACCAGTGCTGGGTCTATAAGGTAGATAAGACATGTGGCTTCTGCAAGAGCCTTTGCCCATGTAATGGCTGACAGATGCATTCTGAAGCACTTGTTGGGTGTTATATGACTCACTGCTCACTGCCAGGAGTTTGATTCTGACCAGTTCAAGGCTAATTCAGCCTTCCATCCTTCCAAAGTCAGTAAAATGAGGACCCAGATTGTTGGAGGCAATATGCTGATTCTGTAAACTGCTTAGAGAGTGATATAAAGCACTATGAAGTGGTATATAAGTCTATGTGCTATTGCTAAGACAGAATGGAACTCAGACACCACAACAATGCAATTTATGTCAACATAATTTTCTGCCAGCTCAATACCAGAGGAATACTTGTAATTGTGACTGTGAGGAAGAGCCCTATGTGAGCATTTTAAACATCAGGAAAATAGTAAATCACTAAAGAAAATGCACATAGGGTTTTCAGGGTTTGATAACATATAAGCAGGCTAAACCCTAAAGGATATCATTTTTCAGCAGTTTGCTGTAAGATGCTTGTTTCTGTAGTTTCACTGATTACTTTGTGAAGTTCAACATGAGACTACTCAGCAAAAGTGTGGTTTATGATACCTAGGAAGGGCACCATTTTCAGGAAATGTTGAATTGTAAATCTTCTGGTTGCTGAAGAAGTGAAATGGAATTGGTACAATTTGGAAATCAGCAATATGTATTAATGCAGCCTCAGCCAAGTAGACATCTTGCAGTTATGTGGACTTTTTCCAAGTCTGTCATCTTGAATGAGATACCAGAGCAGGAAAACATCTTACATCATCACATGGACATGAAAATAGGGGAAAGTCTTTCTGGAAAAGCCAATGAACTTTTAGAGGGAAAACAAAAGTAGAAATGATCCCTCAGCTATTTTTTTAAAAATAAGTAAATGCAGTCCCAGCTACTTCTGTTCACTCTTGCCAGTTTTTATTCAGATTTTTAAAATGATCTTAAGAAAAATAATGCCCCATAAATCTGTCCTACCAAAGCAAGACAGTGGAATGGAGCAGCTTTGGGGTGATCCATATATTCCAAGCAGTAAGCTTGGTCTGGACCCATGGCATGCCTATACTGTTCTGGAACTGTTAGTTGCTGCCCCATATCTGCCACTCTCTACATCTCTGTGGGAGCCTCTTAATGATGGTTGAACCTATGACACATATGTTGAAGGTAACATGCCATAATGTTTTGGGTGACATGCCAAAGTTCACCAACATCCAACAACTATTCTTGAAAGCAGGCCCTATTCCCACACAATTTGTGGAGGCTATTCAAGAATGGGATGTTGCTCTCATATGGTCTTGGAAAGTCATGTGACATAGCCATCCTCTTGGATGGCCTCTGGAGCCTTCAAAAGTCGTGTGAGAACAGGGCATGCTTTCATGTGATTTTTCTGAGCTGTGTGAGAATGAGGTGTGCTCTCATGTGGCCTCTGGAGCCTCCAAAAATAGTCCGAGAATGGGGCATGTTTTTTCGCAGTTTTCAGAGGCTGCAGAGGCAGTGGAAACGGCATTTCCCAAAGCCATTTCAAGAACAAACGCCTTGTGTGACCTGGAGGTGCCTCAGGTAGGCTGCAGGGCCTTGTCAACAAAAAGAGAACATCAACCGAAGGTAAGCAGCACGCCAGATTCTAGGGATCACACACGATTGGATTGTATTTTTTTACAATAAATATATAAGTAAGGAATTATTTCTCATTTGGGGTGTGTGTGTGTGAGAGAGAGACAGAGACAAAGAGGGAGAGACATGCTGGCAGAGTCAAGTTAGGCATTTTCCAAATTTTTGACACACTGAGCCTGAAAGATTTGCCTTCACTGCTGTAGGGCCTGTATTTCAACCATGAAGTGAGTCATAGTTGCTTGACTGCAGGTTTCTGTAGGTACAAGCGATCAAAGCCCTAGCATCAGCAATTCCCTGTGAATGAAAAATTCATCTGACTGCTTCTTATATTTTCTCAAGCAGAAGATACCGACAATCAATTGGTTAATCCGCTTTTGAGATGCTAGCATACTCTTGGTTTTTGTTGTGGCAATATATCTTGATTTCTCTCTCGCTCCCCAAAAGGAGGCTCTGTTATCATTCTTTTACTATTGCCATTTCAGACAAAAACCCCTGCCCGCCTCCGCCCCCAAAATCATTGTCCTCCTATCTCCAGCACTGGGGCTGTTGTAGCAGAGTTAAAAGGGAATCCTTGGTAGGAAAGGCTGAGTGCAGAACTTGATCACTCTGGAGAAGCATGCGGTCCAGCAAGCCTAGGGATGCTCTGGCCGCACGCTTGTGCTGCTCCAATCGAGGTATAGAAAAAAAAAATATGGCTTGCTTTGCACTTGAGTATTCATAACTGATTACTGCAGCATCAAGTGGTCTCTTGCAGATTAAATGGCACAGACGAAAAAGACTGTGTTCAAAAAAGGAGGTCATTGTTAATGCAGGGACATGATCTGAGGGCATGTAACACAGCAAGTTTGCTTCAGCTAAGCCAGTGGTTCTCAACCTGTGGGTCGGGACCCCATTTGGGGTTGAACGACCACTTCACGGGGGTCGCCAAACAAGGCAGTCTGCCATTTTTTCCCCTTTTTCCTTAGCTGTGCTACTCCCTTTTATTCTATTGGCTTTTGAAAGCCAATAGAATAGTCTCTCTTGAATAAAGTCTAATTCTATTGGCTTTCAAAAGCCAATAGGAATTGTCTAGGCTGTCTCTGCCCTGCTGAGCCTGCCAAAAGTCCCATTCTGCAAACGGTGCTGCACCAGTTGAGTAGTCCTTGACTTACAACCGGTTGAGTAGTCCTCGACTTACGACTGGTTGGTGGTCGCGGCATTAAAAAGGTTGAGAACCACTGAGCTAAGTGCAGTATGCTTTGGAGGAATTACAGACTCTGGATTTAATGGTAATTACCGAGAGTAGGATTTATACCTGAAAATGAGTGTTTGGCAGCATGCTGGTTCATTCTGCTGAGCGGTTTCCTTGAACTTCTACCTGAAACTTCTGGACTCCTTATTAATGGGACACCTTTCCTGAAAGTCAAGAATGGATTAAGTGGATTAAGGACCCCTGGTGGCACAGTGGTTAAAGTGCAATATTTCAGGCAAATTCTCCCCACAGTGAAGAGTTTGATCTTGACGGGGCTCAAGGTTGACTCAATCTGCCATCCTTCTGAAGTCAGTAAAATGAGGACCCAGATTGTTGGGTGTAATATGCAAATAATGCTTACATGATAAACCACCCAGAGAGTTCTATAAAGTACTATGGGATGGCATATAAGTCTAAATGCTATTGCCATGCTAAATTCTACTATGACTTACCTAATGCTTTTGAACTCTTTCTTCCAACATTAGCATTAACTAGCTTGTGTGTAGTGAGAGGTGATGGAAGTCGCAGCCCAGTTCCATAGGCCAGTGTTTCCCAAACTTGGCAATTTTAAGGCATGTGGACTTCAACTCCCAGAATTCCACAGCCAGCGTTGCTGGCTGTGGAATTCTGGGAGTTGAAGTCCTCATGCCTTAAAATTGTCAAGTTTGGGAAACACTGCCATAGGCGATGCTACCGTTTATTCATTCCTGCTGTGAGCAAAATACCTGAAAGTGGGGGCATCAGTAAAATAAGGAAAGAGGTAGTTGGAAGGGATGGCCGCATCTAGGCAGCCTCATGGAAGAACTACCTGACTGAAGAGCAGGAAGAGATACTGCTAACACAATTGTCAGAAGGAATGCTGTGCTGCAGATATATTTAACAACTTCAGGGAGAGCTGAGAGCGTTCTGGGGCCAAGTTAGCATGGGGCTTTCTCTCCCTTCCTTAAGATGTCTTCTACAATTACTTATCGCGAAGCATGAGACTTTTACAGAGCCTGAAGCATGAGAGTCTTAAAAGGAAAGCTTTCTGGGGGTGAAGTTCAAGAGCCCTTTGTTTGGCAGACTGTCTGAATCCTCTCTTTCCTGAAAGATCACAAGTGCAATTTGGGGGCCGTAGCTAGCTGCTCGTGCACCCCCTGGGTCACAGACATCCATCTAGTTCTAGATGCACAGTGGAAAACTCATAATATGCACACATGCGCGCTCTCACAGACACAAAGGCCCATTATCCATCTGAGCTGAATTATATTTGCTAGCAGCAGGGGGAAGAGCAGGAGCTTTTGCTGTGTCTCTTTAATGCTTCTAAACAATACAGGCAACTGCTGGCACTCCTGTGTTCCTTTCCCTTCAATGCAAAGAGAGAAAGATGCTCACGGTGCTAATTTATTTGAGACGCCACTAGCGCAGGTTTAAATGGAGAGCTAACTTTGAAAAAGAGAAGGGACCGAGTTCCAACAATAGGCTCTTCTACTTTTCCAAAGGGTTTTCCTTTATCCCAGGTGCCAGGATGGAAGTGCCTGGAGCAGTCTACTCAAATCTACAGTATTGTATCTGGACCCCTGAGCCAATGAGCAGAGCACTGTCTACTCTAAACTGCCTGGGAGAGGCTCTTCACAACCAGAGCTTCAGATGGGAGCCTTTCCCAGCCCTCCTCAGACAGCCATGGGATTAAGCCATGATTCTTTTGAAAGTAATGTGTCCTAGGTTACTGAGGTATGACTCTGTCCCTTGACGCTTTTGTATTGGCGAGTATCAGCAGATGTCCACAGCTGTCTCCTACCAAACCCCAGAATTTCTGACCCTGCTCATCTTCCTTCTTATAGTGGCTGTCCATGTTTTTGCGCAAATGAGTGAGTTTGTCAGAGTGACAAGATGCAACGGGTGGAAACTAATCAAGGAGAGAAGCAACCTAGAACTAAGGAGAAACTTCCTGACAGTGAGAACAATTAATCAGTGGAACAGCCTGCCTCCAGAAGCAGTAAATGCTCCAACACTGGAAGTTTTTAAGAAGAGACTAGGCAGCCATTTGTCCAAAATGGTGTAGGGTTTCCTGCCTGAGCAGGAGGTTGGACTAGATGACCTCCAAGGTCGCTTCCAACTTTACTACTATTACTATTACATATCCTGTTTTGGGTGGAGATCTCAGCTTTCATTCTCTGCAAGAGGCCAGCTGTCTCCTACCAAACCCCAGAATTTCTGACCCTGCTCATCTTCCTTCTTATAGTCGCTGTCCATGTTTTTGCGCAAATGAGTGAGTTTGTCAGAGTGTGTAAATTAGATTCACATATCCTATTTTGGGTGGAGATCTCAGCTTTCATTCTGTGCAAGAGGGCGTGAAGAGGTAGGTAATTTCAACAGGAATAAAAAAAAAAATCAAACTTCCTAAATGGCCCGACACAAATCCAGTGCTTCCTGATACACAATTCCACTCTATTGCTGTGGCAATTCACTGACTCTTAGGAAAGAGCAAAAGCATTCCAACAAAATATTCCTGATTCCCAATCATTGACCAGAAGGATCTTATGATTGATGGTATCAAATACTGCCATGATGCTGAAAAGACTAGAATATTTCCCCATCAACATCCTAATGCAGGTATTTTATTAGGTGACTGAAGGGATTTCCATCTCATGCCTAGATCTGAAATCTAACTGAAATATGTCTGTATCATACTTCTTCTTACAGTGGTCTGTTGAAATAGGTGGATCTAGCACATCTTTGTGGGTCTCAGCAGTATCATCATGAGTGGAAGTATAAGAAGCAGGACCTAGTCTGTCCAAGGCCTGGAAAGGCTTGATACCAAAACCTCCTCCTTTCAAATGTTTTGGGCTTTGGGGGGTATTTGGTAGGCCTACCATATTGTCTTCATGCAAAGTACTGTTTTTCATGCAATGGCAAAAAGTCATGCAGACCAAAAAGGGTGCAGCATCCTAACTTATTTTGTAACCACCAAAGGTAGTCAATATCGCTGTTTGTATAACATGGCTAACTCAGAAAAAAAGCCAGTGAAATCTTCAGACAAGTGGTTCTGACAATACAACACACTAATTAGATCACAGTCACTTTGGGGGCAAATATACTCTCCATCACTTTCTTTAGAAATTGCCTTGCATTCCATGAGTACCAAGACAATATGGGCAAGGTTTCACTGTATCACTAGTCCCATTCCTAGAAAGGTTGGCTTTATTACTTGTGCTGACACACACACACACACACACACACACACACACACACACACACACACACACGTAACTGTGATTTAATGAGTTTATTTATATTCCCCAGCAGTTCCCTTCACCAAAAATTCAGAATTGTCCCAATTAAGTCTAGCCACAAGCAGACCAAGATTAGTCTACAAAGCAATTGAAACTTGCTCAAACAAAATAACTCCACCAGGCAAAACTTAAATCCACACACAAGAGTGCTCATGCGGCAAGACAAGTTCAGAGTCTTCAAGGCACAGTTCCAAAAGTGTCAATCCAGAGTAAAGCAGGAATCACAATGATCAAACAAACAGCTAGAAAGCCAACACATTGTTCCCAGCAATGCCTCCACTTATCTACCATGATAAATAGCCAGCTATCTGGTGCAGCCCATCAAGACAGGTGAGGTCTTCTCCTCTTGAGTAGTCTGGCTGACCTCCACTGCTCCTGCCTTTTCTCTGCCCTGCATGTTCTCAGATCAGGTGCAGAAGGCAGTTCCTCCTCCTCTTTGCTGGCCGTCTGCCACTGCAAACTTTCCCCAGTTGAAGCCTCCTCCAAATCTTTTTCGGGCAGCCATTCAGAGCCATCAATCAACCCAGTTCCTGATGTGCCAGGAATGGGCTCAACTTCTCCTGACATCTGAGGAGGAAGCTGGGGAGTCACCCAAGGGAGACATCACACTACTGCAGGCAGACAGTGTTGGGGAGATGGTGCTCCAGGCAGATAGGCCAGGTCTTGACAGTAAAGGGAAGACTTGGTTTTTTTTTTAACCATATTCCCTCTCTTGAACAATAGACACATTGACTGGGAAAAAATGAGGAATGTGAGTGGATTTTCACTTTCCATGACACAGGAGATTGAGTAGAAATAGTTCAGACCAATGCAAGTTGACTGGGCTACACAACCCATTTTTAGTCTTTCCATGAACAACTATTTCCTCCATGAGCCATTTAAACAAAGTGGGAACTGAGCCAATGTAATGCTCAACTGAGAGATGGAAGAACCATTTAGACATTGGTCCAATCCCTTGCTTAAAGCAAATTATCCAAATTACAACTTCCCCTCAATAAATTATCAGTTGAGCCTCAACTCCAATGCATCAAGTGAAGGAAAACACTGGCTGATGTAATGGTGTGTGGGAAAGACTTTGGGTGATGGTGCAAAAAGATGCTGCCTAGGGAACAGTCAAATAAGAGAAAGCCTGCAACTGCATAGTGGGCAGAACAAGCAGCTCAAAAGGAACCCTCCCTAATTTCTCAGGATGTTAAGGAGACAGCAGGGGAAAAGTACTTTCAGACTTGCAAGATTCTGTTATGTAGCTTTACAATAAGATAGAATTAGCTTATCTGGTCATGTTTCTTGTCTAGTCTACTGGTAAGACTGACAGATGCTTGGTTCTGCTGTCAAAGTAGTCTTATCTTTATGAAATGTTCCTAATATTCAGCCCAAATTTACCTTATTTTAGCTTAATATAATTATCCTGTGTTCTATAAACTGGAATCCTAGAGGTCTTAAGCTTCTTCAGATACAGTTCAAGCACCTGAAAACTATTACCATATCTGAGCCATCTTTTTTCAAGGCTAAACATACCCAATTCCCTTAGGCTGTTCTTAAATTCCAGACCCCCTTGTCCTTCTCAGCATGTTTCTGTTTCAATTTCTCAGAGACCTTCTTCAAATGAAATGCCTAAAATTGGGTTTAGTTTATGCAGCATATAAGGTAGCTATGATTTAGAAAATCTATTAATACAACTTAAAAATTGCCTTGTTTTTTGTTAGGCTTTATCAGGAGACACCATCTCTTGCCTACTGAAACACTATCTAACACAGTGTTTCTCAACCTTGACAATTTTAAGGCATGTGGACTTCAACTCCCAGAATTCCACATTCCTGATTGCTGGCTGTGGAATTCTGGGAGTTGAAGTCCACATGCCTTAAAATTGTCAAGGTTGAGAAACACTGACAGCAAAAAAAAAAAAAAAAAAAATCCTCTCCATGTGTAAGGACTTCAAATACCATTCTTCCCCCCAGCCAACATGGTCAAGTTAATATGTTAAGATTGGAGAATATTAGATCCCTTCAGTTAGATGAGGCTGAAGGCCTACGAATCTGAGGGGCTTTCCTAATGCCTATGAAAAAGACACATGCAGGAGGGAAGCATGATTGTGTTCCTTCACTGTTGTTTCCTGGCAGGAGGCATTTAAGTAATGCTGATTTTCCTTCTGAAGGCTTAATATAGTCATGAAAACTAATGAGCACTAATAGCCCAATCCTCTATTAATCTGTGCCACCCCATAAACTAGTTGCCATAAGCACATTCCATGGTATATGTTGTATATGAAATATATCCTTCTCTTAGTCCTGAATTTTCCCACAGAGTTTCAGTAAATTACCCCTAATTCTAACACTGAGGAAGAGGAACAGTCGCCTGTCTAGATTTTCTACACCAGGCATGATCTGATATATTTTTTATCATGTTCCCATTTACCCATTTTATTTCTAAGTCAAAAAGCCCCACGTGCAATTGTCTTTTTCTATATAGGACCTGACTAACTCCCTAATCAGGTTCGTTGCCATTTCTTACATTCTTTTAGCTCTCTAATGACCTTGTTTAGTGGTAAAGTGATTACAGCTGTGCACAGGATTTCAATTGTGGTTGTACCATGGACACATAAGCATCTTTATGAGGGTGATAGTTTTATTTTCAATTCCCATTCTAGAAATGCTCCATTTTTTCCCTCTGATCAGTCTCCTCACTTGGGCTCTATTAGGATGTAGAGTTTTTTATATACAAAAATGTGCTGTAAGGTACACTATTTTACATTAGAAAGAATCCACCATAGCCTTTTATAGTCTCTCATTTTACTACACAGAATCATTTGATAGCGTCAGCTAACATTTGATCATATATACAGAGTAGTTTTATTTGGGATACTTACATTTTTAAGGCCTATTATGAATTCCTCCCCCAAATCTTTGGATCAGCTACAGAAACATAGGAACCATCTTCTCCACTGCTGCTACAATTCAGCCTTTGTAGGGTGGAGGGACATCTCTCATCATTGTTCTTCTGAATCAAGGAATATGGGGAGCAAAAGGCAACTTTTAATCTCTGTAGTCCTGCCATTTCAGCCACAGGCACAGTGCAGTATCTGCATAGGAATCCCTCTTTTCCCACCTGTCATGGATCCGCCCCTTGGAACCATCTCCAGATGCCAGTTCTGAGTAGGAGGTTGGGTTTGAGTCTGCAGAAAAAAGCATGGCGCCGAGTATTGGTCAGGATTGGGGCTCAGAGAATGCTAGCCTGATGGAGCAGCCTCAGCTGTGTTAAGCTGATGAGTGGCAGGCTGAGACTGAGGGAGGTGAGCCACAGCTGCAGCAAGTTGGCCTGGAGGCTCCAGGCTAGGACTGGGAGTAGCTGCCACCTGTTAGCAATGAGGAGGTAGATTCCACACCTCCTCCTGATCCAAGGACATGTAGGGCAGAAAGAAGACAGGCACATCAATCACCTACACTACTCATGAGGAGGCAACTTCACTTCTCATGAAGGGCTGCACCAGCATTGCCTACTTAACCCCGTCCTGAGAACTTGAGTATTGTTGGAGCAACATGCCCAGTTCTTTGCCTTGTGTGCTCATGCCGTGCATCCTGGCCTGTCTGACTGCTTTCCTGGACTTTGTATGTGCCCATTGGACTCGGTTACCCAGTGGCTCTTGCTGCTCTAAGCTTGGAATCCAGACCTGTGCAACAGGGGTACTTTCCAAGGACCTGTTTGAAGGAATTGAATAAACACCTGCAGAACTCTTGCCATATGTGCATGTGTGTATTGGGAGCAAGGCAGCCCCCCCCCACATCCCAAAACAATAGGAAGAGAATGATGGGCTCACAAGTTGGTCTTACTGGGCTCCCTTGTCATGGAATTCTTCAGAAATCCCAGGGGTTGAGTGGAAGAATGTGGTTACAGCCAAAACAGCAGCTCTCCAAGCAAAGAAATGGATTGGCACCAAGTGCGGCAGAGCATGATAAGATGGCAAATTTCACAGTGTGTGTAAAAAAAAAATCACTTGAAGTCCACAGGTCCATTTTCCTAAATTAGTTTTTGTTGTCACTAATTGATTATTATAGAAAAAATATTCACTATGTATTATTTAAGCTATGCATTTAAATTCCATTTAGCCTGTTCCTGATTCAAAACAGTATTTTATTTTCCAGTCTGTTTAAATGCAAATCCAAAACAGTCCAAAGTTTCATGCTTCTTAGACGCTCCATAGGACAGGGAGCAGAAGGATTTGTAGTTGGACCACACGCAGGAAGTGCGGTTATTAAAAGCAATTTCTGAGTGCTAATGGCATTGAAAATCAGTATACCAAAAAATACAACAGTACTGAATGATCACCAGGTAATGATGTCATCCACAAAGCAAAACCTGCCAGATTTGGAAACTTCTTCAGAGTTTGGGTAGACTGATAATTCTTTAATCAGTTACTGATGATAGTGGAAGGACCTGTCCTCCCTGGCTTCTAAGCGGGTGCCAGACTCTTTGGTGGGAGTGCTTGTAAAGATGTTGTAGTAATGACCACTGGCAATTGTGACATACTTCTGCCTTTCAGTGGTGGCTTTTCAATGAGATCCAAAGGAAAGAAACTGTATGTCAGTCTAGAATTTTCAGTTCTTCACATTCTATAATACTGTAGAAGGGGCGGCATGGTGACTCAGTGGTTAATACTCTGGGCTTGTTGACTGGAAAGCCAGCAGCCCACACTAGAGACACCAGCACCACGCGATGGGATGAACACCCATCCCACCCCAGCTCCTGCCAGCCTAGCAGTTCAAAAGCATACAAATGAAGTAGATAAATAGGTACCACTTCAGTGGGAAGATAACAGCGCTCCATGACATCATGCTGGCCACATGACCATGGAAATGTCTTATGACAGCGTGGGCTCAATGGCCTTGAAACGGGAGGTGCAATGCTCTCTGTGGTAGGCAAGAACTAGTGGAATAAAATCTGCAGGGACTCTTTTACCTTTTCTTTATATTCTATAATAGAAGGATTCTTGAGGTAGTAGGTGAATAAATTTGCAGAGGGCGGCAGGATTTGCATATGCAGGAAGTCAAATGTAGTCTTGTGGGGTCCGAAACTTCCAGAATTGTTACATCTTTTAAGAATGACAAGTTATATTGCAGCCATGGTAGATGGCCAAAAATATAATGGCTGCTTCTTTGGGTACCACACAATTCTTTAGTAACTTGATTAGGTCATATGGGAAATTCATGCAAGATCTATGTTAATTAAAAATCGGGTTTCAGTAATAAGACAGCAAGTCACAAAGCATCCTTAATTGTCCCAAGAAAGAGAAACTTACTAAAATTATTGTCAAAAAAAATGGGAACATGTCCACTACATATAAGGAATAGTTTGTTAAAAAAAAGTTGTCTGTATGGAATCACAAAATAATATTTTTCATATAATTCTTGCCCTAATAACTCTGCCACACATCCAGAATCCAGAAAGTCACCACTATTGACCAGAGTTTCCCAACTTAATAGTTTTTGGGAGAATAGAGAAAATGTCATTTGATTATTTGCCTTAAGTAGCAAAACATGCCAAGCTGCTTTATATGGCTCTAAAGAGAGTTAATACAGGTAATCCTTGAGTTACAGCAGTTCATTTAACGACCATTCAAAGTTACGACATCACACATACACACACACACACACGTACACGGGTACTGATGACTCAGTCCCGAGGTTACGAATGTTGTAGCACCATGACAGTCATTCACCCTTACAAACCACCACAGAGGCACTGCAACATTCACCCTGCCTATTCCCCCTCCCCACACTGGATCTTCACAGGCACTGGGCCAGTGGAGACTTGCTTACCTTGCCAAGATCTAGTGAGCGGTCTTTTCTC